GTGGGTCAGGTGACACCCCTGATCCAATCAGCTGTGCCCCAGTGGTGTAAACACGTCTGCGCTGAGCCATCCTTGTGTAAATATCCTTGAAGGTGAAGGAGTGAAAGTCAGTGAGCACCACTGGCCCAAAGAAGAGTCAGTCACAGTGAAAGTTCATTTCATGTGCATTCTTTTCCTTCCCAGGCCAAGTTCTTTTCTCCCCCTCCCCCACCCCCACCCCCACACCAAGTGACTTAAATGGGAGAGTCCTAACATCTAGATTCCTTTGTAGGAATAAGAAATTTCTCTTTAGTTCTGTCAAGGTCTAGCCGTGGTCAAAGAGGGAAGCCCCAGCATTATTTACCCTTATCGCTTTTAGGACTTTGGATGTTCCAAGTTAATCTTTTTACTTTTTTCCCTATATTAGGTGCATCATCATCATCTATCTTACACACACACAAACACACACACATACACACACTTACTATGGATTTGTAAAGGTCCCATTCAGTCTTTTGTCCTTGGCCTTTCTGTTCTAGGTAACTTTCTAGAATGTCACTTCTGTAGACATTGACTTTTCATGATGAACCTTTATGTACATATTTAGTATTTTTGGAATTTGTATATTTTTTCATTTTCAAGGTTCATGCTAAGCAGTTTCCTATAAAAGTGTCTGTATCCTTCCTCATAGTTTCTCTAGCCAGGAATAGTGTAGACAATTAAACCTTTGTTTTGGTGTTCTAACTTTAAAGTTGTATCCATTTGCTTTCCTTTTTAAGTCATCATCTCCTAAAGCTCATTTAACTCTGTGGCATTAATGATAATTACATTAAAAATACAGTGAATTCCATTTAGTAATTATATTAGAGTAGCTACTGGAGTTTGTCATCATGGGATAGACTTACTGCAGTATTTCCCCGAAAGTCATTTGTTTGGATGTGAAGAGGTGGCTGTTAGGGAGGAAAGAGGTATCTGTAGACAAATACATTTGAGAAATACAGAGTTCAACAAAATCATACTGATTCTCTAGTGACAGACTTCTCAGAGGCTCAGATAAGCTCATATGCATTGTGCAGCCCCAAGAGGGCAATACAGTTTAAATCACCTCTCAAATTTATTTAGTCCGAGAGCTCCCCTTTCTCCAACCACTTCTGAGAACAGTAACATGAGAAACGCACATTGGGGAAATGGTGATATAATTAAATCTTTAAGTTGTATTAATTTTTCATTACTAAATTTTAAAACGTATTCTCTCTGCCACCATCTTAGTTGGGTATAAACCAGAGAAATTCAGAGGCAGGAGCACCGGTCTGAACATCAGGAGCATCTGAACTGGCTTTTTGTCTGGAATTCTGCTTCCTTCTCCTGGGCTTGCACTCCGTCATACCTAAGTGACTGCTGATCATGGACGTGGAGGCTTCTCCAGCTTTAAGATGCTGTTTCTCTTGTTGCACAGGCAATCTAATTGTGTTTATTATAGAGAAAGGAAGGAAGCTTTGACCAGTTTCCAAAAGAGATTTTCTCATTATTCTGACTTGTCCATTTAGAGCCACTGTATTTCTTTCTCCACGGAAACCATTTATTTCTCTTGAGTCCCAATCATTCTTAGATTTGATATGATCAGATCTGCCACTTGGATCTTTTACTAACTGGGCATCTTAGGATCTCATTTAGAATTCTCAGAAACCGAAAGCCAGTGAAGTGAAGTGAAGGGGACAGATGTGTCACCTTCTGGGAAACTCCAAAGTGCCATTATCACCTTTAATGGAGTGTTTTAAAAGATGAAGTCAGTCTGCGTTTTCACTGTGCCCTGTTTCTTTCTAATCATCAGGAGTCTAAAAGATGGCAATTTATGAAACTTTCCTCTTACCTTTGCAGCGTACAGGTGGAATCTTACTTTTAATTTAGTAATTAAGTAACTTTAATTTTACTTCTGTGAGCCAGCAGGTACATTAGGTTCTTACTCCGCCTCCACCCCGACCGTCTTCACCCCCAAAGTGGACTAAAGATTTACTTTTGACAAGTATAGCATTACTGGCATGAAAAAAAATTTTAATAATTGGAATTCCTATTGTGATTTGTTGGTTAAATCTTGAGATTAGTTTGCATCATGCAGTCATGAGGTTTAAATTACTTAACAAAAAACTTAAAGACTGAAACTGTTCTGTTCTGTATGATTATTGCTATTATTCAGAGACTAGAAGGGCAGATCACCTTCATCTGAATAGCAACCAGTTAATGGGATCTCCTGTTCTTAGCTGTCACATGCTAGAAAGAGTGAGCAGGGAACTCTGGACTCGGGTTTGAAAATCTGAGGTCCGGAGTTCCCCTGTGCATCTCACAGGAAGGCATGTGCATGGAGGAAAGGTGTGGACTCTGAGCCGGACTGAGACACGGTCAGACCCTAGCTGTCATTCATGATTTGTCTTAGAACCTGTAACTATGAGCCTGTGTTTTCTCATATGTAAGAGGTGGTGATCATAGTGATTACCTGTAGGATTTCGTGGGAGTTAAGAATATCAAATGTTATATATATATGAAAAGCTAAAGCATCTGGAAGATCGTAGGTGTTCAATCAATAAAGGTCATTCAAAATCATTATTATTTTTTTATCATAATTCTCAGCATATTCCTTGAAAAATGTTCCATATATTTGCTTTAATTATCATGTATTCATTATGATGCATGATGTCAAATTTTTGCTTTAATTATGATGAAATTAGATATTTTTTGTTTAGTGTTAGGTTTATTTTACCTTATATGCTTATGAAAGATAACTTACAGACAAAAGTGTGTGTAATTTGAACTTTTTAATAATAATATTATTATTAACCAGCAGAAGCAGTAAAAACACTCTCTTCCCCAAGAGACAGAATATTACTGATAGCTTTAAAGCCCCTCTGTAATTATTCCCAATCAAATCCTCTCTCCCCATCAGAGTCCTATTTTTCTCTTTATAGTTTTACCATATTCATTTCTAAAAATATATATATTCTTTGGTTTTCTGTGTCTTTGAACTTTTTATAAAAGGAATCATACTGAATGCATGCTGTATATGTATGCATGTGACATGCTTCTCTGTCTCAGCATTATGTTTTTAAGATTTATCCATGATGATGAATATACCTACAGTATGTTCTTTTTTTACTGCATTAGAGTCTTTGATTGTATGAAATGAATATACACTATTTGCTTACCCTTCCTGTTGTTTACGGATGTTTGGGGTCATTTCCAGGTTTTATTTATTTTAACTTTTCTTTTTGCTATTTTGAATGTGATAGCTATTAATGTTCTTGTATTAGATTGAACTATGTAAACAAGCATTTTTACAGGTCAAAATAGTATAAACTTAGAAATTTCATATGTTTCAATCTAATTGTTGTGTATTTGCAAGATTGTATTTGAGGAATACATTTAGGTATGGCAAAAATGCTAGTTCATAGGGTCCATGCATCTTCAACTTTGAAAATGACATCGAATTGTGTTACAAAGAGATTGTACCAATTTATACCTACTATGTGAAAGTTGCCACTGTCCCACCCCCTGTCAGCACTTGGTAAAGACTTTATTTTGGTGGGTGCGCACTGTGATTTTAATTTGCAGTTCTGTAACTACCAATGAAATTAAGCACATTTTCATATGGGCATTTGCCATTTTTGTTTCTTCTATAAAAATATGTGGACATGGCTTTGGAACTGGGTAAAGGGTAGAGTCTGGATGAACTTTGAGGTGCATGCTAGAAAAAGCCTAGATACCCCTGAAGAAACTATTGGTAGAAATGTGGTTGATAAAGTGATTTTGCTGAGGGCTCAGGAAGAAAAGAGGAGAGATGTAGAGAAAGAGCCTATTGTCTTAGAGAAAACATATCACCATGCATGGAATGTTGATAGAAAAGCGAATGTTAAAACTGTGTCTGGTGAGATCTCAGACAGAAGTGAGGAACATGTTATTGGAAACTGGAGGCGAGGCAGCCCTTGTTACAAAGTGGCAGAGAGCTTGGCTGAATTGTGTTCTAGTGTTTTTGCAATATAGAACTTTTGAGTGATGACATTGGATATTTAGCTGAGGAGATTTCTCAGCAAAGTGTTGAAGGCATGGACTAGTTCCTCCTTTCCGCTTACAGTAAAATGTGAGAGCAGAGAGATAAACTGAAGAAGGAATCGTGAAAAGGGACCAGAGCATGCAGCTTTGGAAAATTCTCAGTCTATTCATATTGCAAAGATGTGAAAGCCTGTTTGGAGGGAACATCAGGGTTGTGGCTGGACAACTACCTGCTATAGAAAGAATGAGTGTGACTCAGGGATCCAACCAACCATTTCAGCAGAAACCAGCAATAGAGATTCGGTTATCCAGGGAAGATCTGTAGAGGACCCTCTCTCTGTCTGATGGCTTGGCCCCCTGTGAACTGCCTAGGAATCCAACAACGTTTTTGAGAACATGTATAAGCAGAAATACTGCCAGCTTAGACTACAGAGAGACAAGATGAAATGAAGGCAGGCTCTTGGACTTCTGAGATTCTACAGGGTAGGCCAATAGAGCGATCAGGCTACAAATGTGTGTTATTTTTCAAGAAAAGGGAAGAATGATCCTGAAGGCAATTTAGAGGTGTGAAGGGCTGCCATTGCCACCAGGGCCAGGGGTTGGGGCTTTCTCCTTCTCAGTTTCAGAGTGCAGGGCCACCTCCCCATTTTCAGCAGGCCAAGCTGTTGTGATTGTACCCAGGGCCAAGGAGGGTGGGACAGCCACCCTTGTAGGCTCAGAAGGCAGGGCCACCCTAGTGGGCACAGAGGACAGAGCATGGAACCGAAGAGGATTATTCTCGAGAGGATTATTCTCGAGAGGATTATTCTCGAGAGGATTATTCTTAAAATCGACGGAATTTACTCGGCCTTCAGACTTGCTCGAGACCCAAGACTTCTTTCTTCTTTGCAATTTCTTCCATCTACAACGAGAATATCTATCTAAGGGTTGTCCCACCCATTGTATTTTGGAAGCTGATAACTTCTTGTCTGGTTTTACAGGTTCACGGCTGGTAATGAATTTTCCTCAGAATGAATCACAGCTCAAGGCTCACCTAGACCTAATTTACATGATATTTAGGTGAGATTTTGGGCTTAGAGTTGATGTTGGAATAGATTAAGACTTTTGTGATTGTTGGGATGGGCTGATGTATTTTGCATGTGAAAAAGATGTGAATTTTGAGGGGCCAAAAGGTGGAGTGTTATGGGCCACGTCGTGTCACCCCAAAATCCACATGTCGAAGTCCTCATCCTAGTACCTCAGATTGTGGCTTTATTTGGAGATAGGATATTTAAAGAGGCAGTTAAAGTAAAGTGAGGTTATTAGAAAGTTAGACATAGACAGAGAGAAGACTGTATGAGGACACAGGGAGAGCATGGCCATCTATGAGCAAAGGTGAGGGGCCTCTCGTGCACTGTTGGTGGGATTGCAAATTGGTACAGCCATTATGGAAAACAGTCTGGAGGTTTCTCAAAATATTAAAAATGGATATACCTTTTGACCCAGCAATTGCACTTCTGGGTATTTATCCAAAGAAAACCAAAACAATAATTCATAAAGATCTATGCACCCCTGTGTTCACTGCAGCACAGTTTACAATAGCCAAGGTATGGAAGCAACCTAAATGTCCATCAACAGACGATCGGATAAAGAAGTTATGGTTTATATATACAATGGAATATTACTCAGCCATTAAAAAAATGAAATCTTACAATTTGCAATGACTTGAATGGACCTTAGAGGTTGTTATGCCAAGTGAAATAAGTCAGACAGAGAAAGACAAATACCATACGATTTCACTTATATGCGGAATCTAAGGAACAAAAAGAACAAAGTAATCAAAAACGGACTCACAAATATAGAGGACAATCTGGTGATGCCCAGAGGGAAGGAGGGTTGGGGGGCTGAGAGAATGGGGTGAAGGGTTTAAGAAGTACAAATTAGTAGTCGATAGATGGTCATGGGGATGGGGAGCATGGCCTAGGGAATGCAGTTAGCAGTAATATATGGATAGGTAGAGAGCCGGAGGAGAGAAAGAGCAATTAGGGGGATCATTATATCAACTATGTAAACATCAAACCAGTGTACTGTATACTTGAAACTAATAAAATAAAATTAAAAAAAAAAAAAAAAGCAATTCTGCTAACATCTTGACCTCAGACCTCTAGCCTTCAGAATTGTGAGAAAATAGATTTGTTGTTCAAGCCACCTAGACTATGGGACTCTGTTATAGCAGCCGTGGAAACCAGTACACCTGCTATTTGCCAGTTCCACTCTGATTAACAGCTTTATAGTAAAGACATTCAGTGTTGAGTAGAGGTAGGGAGAGTGGACTCTTTTGCCCTTTTCCTGATCTTAGGGGAAAACATTCAGTCTTTCATCATTGAGTACAGTGTTAATTGTAGGTTTTTATTGTTTTCATTTTTTTGAAAATGTCCTCTGTATGATTGAGGAAGTTTTCTAGTTTTAGATTGCAGAGGGTTTCTGTCATGAATGGGTATTGAATTTTGTCAAATGATTTTTCTGCATCTATTGAAATAATCATATTGTTTTTCCCTTTTATTCTGTTAATGTGCTGAATTACACTGATTGGTTTTTGGATGCTGAACCAGCCTTGCATCATTTAGGTAAAACCCACTTGGTTGGGAGATGTAATAATCCCTTTGAAATCTTGCTGGTTTGGATCCACTAATATTTTGCTGTGGGTGTTTGCGTTTATGTTTATGATGGCCTTCAGTTCTGGGCAATTTTTTAGAATTATTTATTTGATTTCATTCCTGGATGCAGCCATTCATTAAAATTTATTTTTAGAAATATAGTTTCCTATCATTTTTAGTCATACACTTCTGGGAGGTGTTCTTATTTCAAAATATCATCTTTTCTATTGCTGAGAAAATGGCTAAATAAGATTATTTTACTATATTTTTTTCCTTCGCAGAAGAGTTTATTGATTTCTAGTTTATATTTTAGCCCGTGATGAAAAATTCAAGGAGTATAGTGAATATAGGACTTTTTTTTAAAAAGTATTATAATTTATTTTACAATTACATAAAGTACTTAGAATTTAAAACTTCAAACCATAGATGTATAGAATTTTTGAATATTGCCTTTCGATGTTCCATGGAAATTGACCCGAGGTCTTGTGTATGCTTCATTTTGTTCACAAGCATTATGTATTTATGTATTTATTTCTCACTCAAGAGTTACGATGAATGAAACTGGCAGATTTTCATTTTCTCTTTTTCTTCCCAGCCTTGCCGAAGTTGTCTGTAAATGTTTGCTGAGGGTGGGAGCAGAGCGAGATAGCACCTTATGTGAACACCGTATTTACTTTTGTTTCATAACCAAATTAGTCGATTTTCATCCATGGACGGTCTTTATCGTGCCTTCAATGTGTGGTCTCTCCTTGACTTGTCAGGTCTCGTTTCATCGTCTGTGCTTGGGGTTAAATCATGGGGAGAAAGCTGGATCTCTCCGGGCTGACCGATGATGAAACAGAGCATGTTCTCCAGGTGGTTCAGCGAGACTTCAACCTTCGAAAGAAAGAGGAAGAACGATTAAGGTGAGACGCTTTTATTGCCTTCCTGGGTACAGCGAACCACGTGTGGACAGGTGAAACAGGTTTCCCGAGAATGTTCCTTGCTGCTAGCCTTGAGTTCTGAAGTCTTTATGTCATGTAAACACACACGTATGTTCCTGGGAAGGGTGCCCTTCCCTTGGTAGAAAGGCTTGCCAGCTTCAATGCGGGTGTCACCATGTCAGATAAGAAATGCACTCATACTGTGGTGAGTCTGAATTGAGATGCACTGTAAGTGTAACATACACACTGGATTTCAGAAATTTAGCACAAGAAATGTAAAATATCTCAATGATTTTTATATTGATTACATTTTAAAATGCCAATATTTTGGATATACGAGGTTAAGGAAAAAACATTAAAATTAATTTTTTCCTATTTCTTTTTACTTTTTTTTTTTTTAGTATGGCTACTAGACAATTTACGTTGAGAATTTTTGAGTATAGGAGTGACATGATCTGACAATAGTTTTATAGGATCACTCTGGCTGCTGTTTGGGGAAGTAATCATAGAAAGGCAAGAGAGGCAGCAGAGAAACAGGTTAGGGGGCTATTTCAGGAATCCAGGTGAAAGTCCTGCTGTGGGGACCTTGGAGGCCTGTGTTGAGACAGGTGTCACTAGGTGGAGGGAGCCTGATCCCTAAGCCACCTGTGGAAAGATCTCCAGACCTATACTAGAATCATAGTTTATGCTCTATGATTTTTGTATTGTCAGGCACGTTTACAAAGTGGTTTTTAAAATGACCGTTAATTGCATGGTACTCTGGTGTTCCAGTTGAGTCTTGGAGACATTTCTGAGATAGTCAAAGCCTTTAAAATTTCTCATTTCGTATGTGCTTTCAAAAAGCTAGTTAGCATCCGGATAACTCCCAGTGATTTTCTGATGTTCTAATGGACTTGGTAGGTGGGGGAGTGGGGGTTAGATTTGATGAAATTGTTTCCTGTAACTGCGACCAACCATTAATTGTCAGGGTTTGCTGGACTGACAGTGTACTTATGCCTGCCAAGAACTGCTGGGCCCAGGCTCTGGGCCAGGGCCAGGGGAAGGAAGGGAGGGGGAGAGGGAGAAGAGGCAGAATGGCAGAGCACTTCCCTGCCTGGTCTTTTCCTGAGCATTTTAACTGCTAAGTCCTCATCTGTAAGGGTGTAAACACCCCTTTCGCCTATTAAGGAAGGGAACTAGATGTATCTGGAGACCTATTTCTGTTGCCTTAATGGTTTCAGTTACTCACTTTCTGACACGGCCTGCACTCTCTTTGCCACCTAGGGAGGGTGGGGGGCCATCTTCCGTTTCCCAAGAATCAAATCTAAATGTTGTAAGGAAAAAAAATAAGACCTGCCAAGGGGGCATGGAAGAACCACTGCAGGGGAGTAAAGCCACTTTAAAACTAGAAATAATTTGTGTTTCTAGTCTATTATATGGAAACTCCTTTGAGAATGAATCACCATTTTTTTTAAAAGTAGAAAAAACACAGTGCTTTCTTAATAAATGACTTAGTGACCTTTCTTCATTCTAAATTCATTTCCTTTTAAACAAATTAAAATTGTTTTATAAGAACTTAATTTTTTAAGAAATTTCTTTTTCAAAAAGTAAAATGCCTTTGTTCTGAGTGTTCTTTGTTTGGACAGTTAAATCGATGTAATGAGTTAGCAAATACCCCTAGTTATATCCTTCTTGGAAGCTGGAAGTCGGATCGCCTTGTCTTTACTCAGTTGGAATAAATACACCCTACGGTTTAAGAAATAACTGTGCCTGCACAGTGTGCATCTGTCCCTTGTGGCTCTTGAGATGGCACAGTAACACTGTGGCATTAACCTGCCCTGTTAGTGCATCTGCTGTCTCGGGGGGATGCTGCAAGGCTGGCATCCCTTCCTCTGCACTGGTGGATCAGGTTAGCCAGCTGGTCTCCTGGCAGGACCTGGGAATAACAGAGCCCCGACCAGTGCCTTCTGTGGTGACTGGAAGGTCTGACACAGCTCCTTCTGAGAGAGTTGCTTTGAAAAGGAGACAACCTAGTAGGAGTCAGAACTGGGAGACACCAGGAGAGAACCGGGACACTTGGAGAGGGCAGATGTGGGGTCCTCTGAAATGTGGAGGAGTGTAGGGTACAGAGTATCAATCTCAAAGCTAGAAGGAACCTCACAAGATTTTTTTTAAATCTCCTTTTTACTTACTATTGGCATTATTTATTAATAATGGAAAGGTCGAATATATTAAATCAAAGCTGTTGGATATTCATTCATTTGCTTTGAAATCGTATATTGAATGTCGGGAGCCTCCTGGGCAAATATGAAGGGGGGGTGAAAAGACAGGGAGAGAAATTTAATAAGAGCCTTTACCCCTTGAGGAAGAGCCCAGAAGGTGAGCTAAGTCTGATGTGAATGATTAGGATGCTACAGAGAGTGAGAAATGAAAACACTAAGGCAGACCTGTGGGAATACTTCTACCTCAGAAATGGGAGGAAGGAAAAGGGAAGGGCTTCCTGAAGGAGAGGTGCATGTGATCTGATCCTTGAAGGCAGACAGGATTTTTTAAGTAGATTGATACAAAGTTCTGGGCAGCAGGGAGCATCCTGGGCAAAGGAATAAGGAAGGAAAAGAGGGCATGTTTTCTCAGCCACAGATCCAGACCTGGGGCGGAGCGGGGAGGAGGAGCCTGCTTTGCCCATAGGTCTTGCTTCTATGCTGCTGATTGTATTGTGTAGAATGTGGTGCTCCAGGAATATCACCTCCTCAACATTCCCAGCGACCTCGGGAAGAACACTATTCTTATCTGTTTCCAAAATGGGGAAACTAAGGCTCTAAAAAGATGTGAGTAACTTGCTCTGGTTGCACATAGTGAGAGGTAAATTTAAACCCAGGCAGTGTCACCCCATAGCTGGGGCCAGTAACCCGGACAGCACACTGCCCTGGTACTGAAAACAGGGGCAGTCATGATGCCACGCGACAGAGTGGGTGAAATTAGGGTCATTTTAGAAAATCTGGCACCTGTGCTTGCTAAAACTGGGGGTACATGCAGGGGTGGGGAAAGTAGTAGGGTTTAGGTCAGGATGTGGGGAGTGGTTAGTTGAGACATCGCAATAGCCACGTGTATCATTGAGTACTTCCAACATGGCTTGTCCAAACTGAGATGTAGTCTGAATTTCAAAGCTCTGGTATTAAAAAAGAATGTACATTATCACATTAATAATTATTTTGATATCGAAAACACGTAAGATAGCATATTAAATAAAATACCTGATTAGAATTAATTTCACCTATTTCTTTAAAAAAATGTGACTCCTCGAAATTTTCCATGCATGGCTCACATTATATTTTTATTGGACTGCACAGTTTTGAAATGCTAGGTTAAGCAGTTTGCAATTTATAGGTTTCAGAAGCAAGCTTTCTTCTTCAATTTTGTTTGTGGTTAGTCCTTTTCTATATGAAGTTTTTAGGTACCTGAAGATCCAGCTAAAGTCTTAGCCTCCTAATCGTATATTAGCCTTTGCTGTCAAGTATTGTAATTTCTGTCATGTGGAGGTGGTCCCAGAACAATGCCCTGTATTGGCTTTAATGTGCAGTTTCAAAGGAGAGCACACTGAGTTCATGCCATATTCACCATGGAGAATTGGTGCATCAGGATAGAATCAACCCTTCGATGTGTCCTTGAAGTTAGTGGTTGATCAAGGATGTCATGGCCTTTGAAATAACATGTGACTTTAAAATGACCTCATATTCATAGTTTGTGTAATATCTCTGGCACCATAAAATGGTAACTTATCACATATTCTCCTGTGGGGGTCTGCCTTTAGGAATGGCGGAGAGAGTTTGATGCTGCAGATGTGCTTATGATGTAGAAAAGAGGAAATTATACAAATGCTCTCATTCACTTTTAAATTTGTAGCCCTTCAAAGATGTATAGTTACTAATTTGCAGATTCTGGATTCTGGATACATTCTCTCCATAACCCCATATTCTTTCATGACAATTTTCTACTAGGTTGCTTTTGTGGTTCTAAGTTCCTGATCTTATTTACTTTTCCATTGCAAATGTCAGAGGTTCAGTTCTGCTGGGCTCTGATAAAGCTTTTGTTGCACTAATTCTTGGCCTGACTTTCATGTCTCAGACCTCTGGCTGCAGAAAGCATTTCTTTGGCATAAGGTATGCATAGAACTCAAGACTTAAAAGAGAATAAAGAGGAAGGTTTTTTACAGCCATTATAAAAGCAGCTTTCAACCACAATAATTCAGGCATGCTCATGATCATTGAGCCAGAAATGGCCTGAAGCACAGAGTGGTGAGCACGGAGGGACAGGGTAGAAATCAGTTTCACTTTCTTCCTTGCCCTGTTCTGTGCTGTTGGAATGACAACTCCTGGAATCAGGCCCCTGCCTTAGTGGCCAGGAGCCAGCAAGCCCCTCTCCCGGTCCAGTCTCTAAGCTGATACCTTCATAAGGAGATTCACCAATAGTCTCTATGACTCATGGAGTGACTTACTATGAGCTCCTTCTCCCAGATGGGAGATTTCTTGCTCTAGCTGGGCCCCTGGTGCATTCTGAGTCCCAGCCCTCTGCATTCACCTGGCCCCTGCTGGCCTAACTCTCTGGGCTCTCATTCTGCAGTAGCTATTGCCTGGTGTGGGCCCAGGACTCAAGTTCCCTTTCCTAGTTGATTCTTATCCCCATGCCCTAGGCTAGAGCCAGAGCGCCTAGCTTCCTCCTGCATGTCTAGCCAGTGACCCCTAGCCATCTCCCATCTTATAATGCTTAGCTTGCCTTTTACATCTTCCAGGCTGAACACCTCACAGGCATCAGTGCCTGTTTGCCATCTGGACAAAGATGTCTTAGGCCGTGACTCATTCTGTGCCACGAGTATGCCTGGAGCCTGGGCTTCCTCACTTCCCGAGCCTGCTCCTGGCTCCTGGCTCCTGGTTGGAAGGACATGGTTTTGTGTTGCTTTCCTAATCCTAACTACAGGACTCCCCTACCCCACTGCCCTACTCACC